GCGAGGCATCGATGTAGTCATTGGAGGCCGAGAGAGCCATCACTATATCCCTTCTCAGAGGCGTGTTTAGCCTCAAAGCTTTCACCAGCCGTTCATTGGTCTGAGAGTCGACTGTTTTATTGAAATTGAAATTTGTTTGCTTTTTGTCTAAATTGATTGCATCGAAGTTTTGTGTGAATGAATACCAATGAGAACTCTTGAGAATAGCCTCGCAACTGCCAGACATGCTATGGACTCTCGACTTCTTGATTGTACTTTTCAGTGTATTTTCAATGAGTTTGACGTCCACTTCAGTTCCGTATCCTTTAAATTTAGTCATATTGTTATTCTTGATAGCCATGAGTGAGTCCAACAAAAAAGTAATTCTGGTTCCGCTTAAACTGTTTTTGTCCACATTTTTCGCCTCATTCTGTACTCTCACTATAAATTCTTTCATTTTAATGGCACTATCTTTACGTAATATAAATCCAACTGATTTGAGAATCAAATTAATTAATTCAATGCATTTTTCAGTAAAATTGTCGCAGAATTTCATAAGAATTTCGTAAATAAGTGACAAATCAATTAAACCGCATACATATAGGTTAACAATAAGCAACACTAAATTATCCATTCTTTTGGTCTCATTGGTTGACATTTGCTTCAGTAAGTCATCAAATATGACAACTAATGAATGGATGGCGTGTCCGCCCACTTCTTCGCNTCAGAATCGACACTTCGGTCGTCAGCTTTTTCGATGAGTTAAACTCCAAATCAATTAATGAACTCTTAATGCATGTAAAGAGGGCTTCATTCACATCATGTCTACTGTTTTGTTCAAACATTTGTCTTATTTGGGAACTAATTGTCATCACATTATTAACAGTCAATCGATTCAATGCTCCCCTCATTTGTCTCAATAACTGATTGCTAACAGAACTGTCAATTGGTTTCTTCAGATCAGGACTTTGTTTCACTATATTTCCAGAACCGTCGCGAATGAAGCCATAGATGTCTTCCTTTAACTCATTAGTTGTCTTCTTCTCCTTCTCTTCAGTTTCACTCTCTTCTTCCGATTCTTCACCCAAATTGTCATCGCTTTGCATGTCTTCTGATTCCATGTCCTCGTCTTCAACCTCTTCGTCAACATCTGATTCGTTGTCAAAATTGTCGGAATCATTCACTTCATCCAAATCCTTGGCATTACTCTCGGAATCGGATTCCTTATCAAACTTATTGTCATTATTTTCGTCAAACAACTCCAAGATATAGCCCAATCCATCCTCTTTGAAAGACTTGGGAAGTGTTGTCACTCTTTTGCCATTCTTTTTGCGTCGATTCAGTTTCAACTTCTTCTCCAATCTCTTCACTTCTTTCTCTTCCCTTTCAATGTCTCTCTTCTCTCTTAAAGTCAATTGTCTTTTATTTGCTTTTGGTTTCACTTTCCTATCCTTTTTTATGTCATCTTTTGCCTCCATTTTATGGTTCTTCGGTTCAACGGCTGGTGTCATGTCTTGGACCACATCTTCAGGTGTTTTGTTTGATTTCCTCAATGAATGCAAATTTCTTCTCATTTTCTTCTCTTTTCTCGCATTCTTTCGTTCAATCCTTCGGCTCTTCATTTCAATCACTGGTTATTAGCAAACATATGATGAGACTGAAGGCTATTACTGTATATTGTATCCAAAGTATCCAAAGTATCCAAAGTATCCAAAACCACAACTAAATGACAACTAAATGAAACCACAATTGACTGCCAATTCATTTGGTGTTCAATACGTGAACGTAAACACAACACAAACACGTGTTTGACGTCAACAACAATACAAGTGTTGAATGAGTGGCGGAATCTGTTATTTGAAGGCATTATTCAGTCAATCAGTTG